CATACCTCCAGCAGGCATGGCATGTGCTTAGGAACACAGGTTCTGGACTTGGACTATCCGAGATCAAAACCCAGCTTGACCACTAAGTAGCTGTGTGACCCGAGGCCGATTACTTAACCAGCCTCTGCCACAGTGTCCTCAAATGTAAAATGAGGACAAGAAAATACCCATCTTGTGGGGGCACTTATGAGAACTGGAAGATAATTCAGAGGAAAACACACAGAACAGAGCCTGGCACTTAGTAAGTGTTCAATAAATGCTAGCTGTTATGATTGGTATTGAAACAGAAGCCATCCATCTACTCAACACTTACTTAGATACATACATTGGACAGGGTGTGGTGCTAGGGGCTGAAGATAAAAAGGTGGCCAAGGCAATAGTCCCTACCCTCCAGGAGCTCATGAGCAAACAGACTGGAAATCAAAATTAGGTCTCAAAATTCAGTGATAAAGTCAAGAAGAGTCAACACTGGTCCTGTGATTTTAGGACTAAGGATAATGGTTGCCTCTGATGGGGGGGCGGGTAGGTGGGGTTGGCTGGAAGGCACATGAAGGAAATTTCTTTTAAAGTGAGTATTACGGAGAGAGGAGAGACCTTTAGGCCAAGAGAATCTCATGCTCAGGGCTTTCTATGTGCAAGGCAGCACGGAGACATGAGAACCTGCCAATTGCTGAATTTGGTTGGGCTTTAGGGTGTGCGATGAAGGATGTGAGATCAGGCGGTCAGAGCCTTAGATGCCGTACAGAAGAGTGTAGACATGGTCCTATAAGCCATAGGTACCGCTGAAGAGTTTCAGCCTCCTTCCCAAGTGGCTGAGACTGCCCTGCCTTGGAAGCCAGGGGTCCATTAGCCTGGTGGGGAAGGAGGAAAGCAGGCCTCCCAAACCCCCATACCCTCAGAACCTCTCCCAGACAGGAGGGAGGGGAAAGAGGAGAAGAAGTGGGAGAAGAATAAAACAGCCATTGAAGTGAGCTGTACCCAGTGCTCTGAAGGGTAACCAGGAAAAACAGTCCTTTCCTGCATCCAGGCTGAAGTCCGTCAAGTCCCCCTGCCCGAGGGGAGGGCACCCATAGTTGTTGTCATGACCTCGCAGGGAAATGGCACCGGTGACTGTCTACTTCATGCATTCAGGAAGGGATATCTGTCTCCTCACTGAGCTGCCTCATGGTATGTGCTGCTCCTGCTGTTTTTATGCTTCTGTCAAACCGTGATATGCAGTTGTGCATCCTGAGATCCTTTGCTGTATACGAGGGATTCCTAAATCTTCCCGCACTCCCCAACTACAACTGGCTTGTACAACTCTCCCGCTGGGAGCACGCTCCTTCCTTCACATCTAGCTGTATTCCATCGTGCTCAAACCCCACTCACTCCTGTTTAAAACATCGCAGACACTCCCTGAGCTCTCACTTTCTGGGACTTCTGTTGCAACTCCTGTCAATAACTTCCTTTCACCTCTCCTTCCCTACTGTGTTAGTTCTGTTTCCTCAGAGAGGAGGAAATAGAAGGTCATTAAACTCAGTGAAGAGCCTAAAAGCTGTGATTTCCTCCACCGGCCAGGGAACATAATCAATTCTTACTAAATATTTATTGGTAGATCGATGATGGAATTGGGAACATTCGGACCCCGGTGAGGATCATCTGCACCAAATCAGAAGTCGAGAAAATGTTTCCATTTCCCCGGATCGTTTTCAGCAGACAAGGTCCTGTGTAGACTTCAGCTCGGTGGAAAGGGCGGTGCTGGGCGGGGTTGCAGAGGAGCAGGGGCGGGAGTGAAGGGCAGTGTGGCCGGGATGTTGTGGGATATTTAATCCTGATCCCAGATGACCCAGGCTTCCGAGCTGTGTCCCCACACCCTCCATTAAAGGCAGCACAGCTGTGCTGCGAGCGCTGGGCAAAAACGAGGTCAGGTTCATGCCCAAGCCTGTGAGGTTCACAGGTGGGCTCAACTTGCTGGATTTCCGCAACTGTGGAGTCATTACTGAAATTGCAGACATGAACCAGCCCACCTGCTGGGAAGAGAATTTGGGATACATTGTGAAGTTCAAAAAGTTTCTGTCTGGAAACTGAAGAGGTAACCATGGCAACCGGGAGGCAGGTTGAACTCAGAGAGGGCTCTTCATCTTGAGCCGGGAGCTTTGTGCTCTCGGATTGGATTTGCCAGGCTGCAAGCACCGCTTTGTCTCTCTTGCCTCTTTTGCCTTGTTTGTCCAATGGGAGAAAGCACTAGCTCAGGATCTGGAGAGCGGGCCCGGGTTTCAGCTGTTTTCAGTTCCAGGGTCCTTAAGTAAGGTCACCGCAGGCACTGGCTGTTTTGTTGTCTGCAAAATAGAAATTAAGAGGCTCCTCTGGCCTATTCACAGGGATGCAGACAGAACAGGAAGGTTTAGGGAGGGTCTGTGCATAATCACTATCATTGTTGTTATGTGGCCACGTCTGGGCTGATTCCAACATGGTGCTACTGGGGGCAAGACCGGGCATTCAGTCCGTCCATAAACTTGTTTTTGTCGCTTGAAGAGAAGCTGTCCCGGATACCACCCGCATCCCCACCTGGCAGCTGCATAATACAATCCCACGCTGGGGATTGAGCTGAGCGGCACCGGGTGCAGCATCGGGCCTCCCCTCAGCTGACCGACTCCTCCAGCAGAACGTGCTGCTGATGGGGACGGTGGGCTGCTTCCTCGTGTGGATGGAGGGTTGTGCTGAGCAACACAGATGTTCAAGAGGCATTCTTCGATTGCCCGGCTGCACACCACTGCCCCCCTCCCAACCCCTGCCCCACACCAACCCAGCCCTGCACTTGTGAGAAAGGAAGACCCAGAGATGGGGGTGAAGGTGGGATGCTGGCACCTGAGATGCTGCTGCCAGTGTTTGTACCTGCCTCTGTCCACTGACCCACTGGGAGGCTGGGGAAGGATTTGACTCTACTCTTCAGAGCGCATTATGTTTTTACTAACCGGGTCATCTTCTACAGGCCCTGGCTTAACAAGAGAATCTTTTTTGTCAAATGGCCCCACATGTTGCTCTGATTTGGGCCTCTTTTGCTCAAGCAACGCCTCGACAATCTCCAGGCCTTCCTGTCCTCACCCCTTCTGTGGTTTTAACCTTTCCTTCCCTGACCAGCTTTTCTGGGCTGTGTCACCCTACGCCCTCAGGTGAGGACCTCTTCTCCTCCTGTCTCTCTCTTCTGACCCTTTACTCCCAGGCTTTGCTAAAGAACAGCAACTCTTAGATGCCCCTCATGGAAACCTAAATTCCAAGAGGCACAAAAAACTTACTACTTTTCCTTATTGTCTGGTGATTCCTGTATTCCTAGTAAATAAACCCGAGAGCTAAAGTTTATTGAGTGCAGACTATGTGTTCAGCACTGATCTAACCACCTTGGTAGGGGTGCTGTGGCATACCACCAAGACTTCTTGTTTGGGACCGAGGCCCTCATTCTCCAGCCTGTTGTCTGCTGTAGGCTCACAGCACAGTCTCTCTGGGAGTTGCCCTTGACAGAGGCAGTTGCCTTGAGCTTAAGCATCTTCTTGGGGCCACCACATACATTGAATGATTAATGTGAGGTACAAAGGCCTGCCCCCTTGCTTTAATGGGGGCATCCCCTGGGGCCAATGGTGGTCTGTATCACAGCAGCATGGCATTTAACTCTTCCCTCTGTCTAACCCTGCTTCTCTCACTCCCTCTCTGATCTGAGAACTTTCCCCAGCAAGGCAATGCCTCAGGGGAACTGCATTTCCTGTCTCCTAGGGAACTCTAGCTAAGAACTCATGTAATCCTCATAACTTTATGAAATAGGTGTATCATATTGTCATCTTAAAGATAAGGAAACTGAGGCACAGAAAGATTAAGAATCTTGCCCAAGGTCTCCCATTAGTAAGTGGTGGAGCCGTGATTTGAAACCTGGAAATCCAGCTCTGGATTCCACACTCTAAACCTCACATGCAGCCTCTTCAGTAGCAATTCCAAGGGAACTGAGGGGCAACGGGGGTGAGGGGTGGGGGTGGCTGTAAGGCTTTCATGGGAAGATGGGGAGAGAGGGAAGATGTCCTTGATCTCAGAGATTAGGACACTGAATTAGCTGCTGCTTAAACCCAGGGTCGATCATTTATCAGTTTACAGAGGTGTTGGGATTCTAATTTTGGGTGGTAGGGCAGTGGAAAAAGCATGGGAAATTCATATTTGAATGCTGGCATAACACTAATTGTGTAAGGCTGAGCAAATTACGTAACCCGACTCTTAGTAAAAATGCCTGGCATACAGATGCTCAGTAAAGAGCCCCCCGACCCCGGGCCATTTGTCTGCTAATTCCAACCCTCTGATCTTGGGTAAGTCTCTTTAACTTTCTGACTCAGTTTCTTCATCTCTGAAATGGAGGTGATGGGATGGCTCTTCGAGTAGGAGCACAGTAAATGGTTGCTATCAGTATAATCACGACGCTGTCTTGCCCGGCTAGCGCCCCTCTCTCCCGTCCTTCAGGGCCCCGCAGGTTCAGGCTCAGGCTGTGACTGGCACTGTGTGTGTGCCTCCCCAACGTGCCACCCCCTACGCAAATCCGCCTGCTACCGCTGACTTGGCTTTCTGCTTTTACTAGAGGCCGACTGGTTTTTTCCTACTAAACTGAGTGGGCGCACCTCGTGCCGTGTAACTTCCCTGCTGCTTCTCCCTCCGCGTGGCCGCGTCCGCCCGGAGGAGGGGGCCGCCGCGTGCGCCCAGCGACTCACAGCTGTGTGCAAGTGGCGGGCGCCCCGCCCCGTCGATCTCCCTGGCCACGCCTCCACCTTCCCCGCGCTTCGATTGGTCGGTGGCGCGCAGCCCCGCCCCACTCCCTCCGAGGAAATAAAAGCCGCGGTAGCTGCGCCTCCTTGCGTGCAGTCCGATAAAACTCAGGTTTGCTCAACGGTGCCAGTCGCGCCTCTTGCCCCTCTGTCTCGTCGCGCTCGCGGCGACCGCTGGAGCCCATCACCATCCTCCCCACGACGTGCTGCTCTGAACCCGCAGCTATGTGCCGGACCCTGGCCGCCTTCCCCACCACCTGCCTGGAGAGGTAAGAGAAGCTTGTCCCATGGAGCTTGCCAGCCGCCCGGAGGAAGAAGTCCTAGCCCCACCAGTCCTTAAGGAGTGGAGTGGCAGGCTTGGGGACCGGGTGGGCGGGAGAATGGGACTCTACTGACTTGAGAGGAGAGGCAGAGGTCACCTTAGTTCCACGTTCTCAGATGCTTCCCTTAGAGTCTTAGAGACGCCAAGGGCCAAGAGAAGGGAGGAGGAAAAACAAGGGGAAGTGGAGGGACCACTGTTTACTGTAATAGCCCAGCCTCTGACAAATGGCAGTCCTCAGGTGACCTGCCAAAGATCTGCTACACGAAGAGCACGTTGGCATCAGCAGGCAGAACTGCCTTTCTAGTTTCTTAAACACTTGGTTTTCATTCTACAGCCCAGATCTAGGAGCATGAGTCCCCTGGCCCTGAGAAGGCAGGGAGGTGTTTTTTGGGTCCACCAGTGAGGGATGTGCCCACTTCCCAGGGAGCTACTCAGCCACCTCTAGCCCTTGCCAGAGCTGGTGGCTGTGAAGGAGAAGGCAGGAATCAGTTTCCACAAAGTTCCAGAAATATTCATGACAAGCCTAGAGGGTGCCGAGCTGCATTCTGCTAATCAACAGGCACAAAGATAGATTAGTGTGACTTAAGTGGGAAAGAGGCCATATATGCTGTGCTCTGAACCCAGAAAGTGTAAGTCCTACTGAGGAACAGCTGAAACATTACTTTCATTGTTTCTGGGTTGGTGATATTAAGAAGAGAAGCAAAGTTTAGGCCCTGGGAACAGCTGAAGGTTCCCAGGAACCCTTGAGGCTGGAAGGTGGGTGGCACCAGCCCCAACTCTTCTGGGACGCCTCTTTGCCCTGGCTGAGCAAATGGGGAATCCTCCCATGTGCCTGCTTTGTCTTCCAGAGCCAAAGAGTTCAAGACACGGCTGGGGATCTTTCTTCACAAATCAGAGCTGGGCTCTGATACTGGCAGTGTTGGCAAGTTCGAGTGGAGTAGCAAACACGGCAAAGAGGGGTGAGTCCTGCTGGCCGGCCTAGGGCCCTAGAGGGGAGGGATCCTGATCGAGGAGAGGAGCCACAAGGAGGAAAATACAAACAGAAATTAGGACATGTGAGGGTACATCTTGGTGACCCCTTCCTGAAGATTTTAGTGAAGATTCCTGCTGGTCTGCTATGGGTGACTGGGTCGGTGGCTCCAGGGTTCTTGGCCCACCGACAGATATGTGTGCCCAGGGTCGGAATGTCTAGTTACCAGACTCCTCCACTTGCAGATGTCACTGTCTCTGCAACCGGGGCTAGGACAAGGTCTAAGAACACTTGAGGCTTTTCAGTCAATGACTTTACTCCCATTAGTGTGCACTTTGCCTATAAGCCCTTTCATATTGAAAATCAACACTGCCAGGTGCTGCTCTAGGCTCTGGGGTTATGAGTAGACTTAATCTCTATTCCTGAGGCCCTTATTTCCACGAGGGGAAATGTAGAAAACAAAGCCCAGGGTCAGAGGAATAGAAACAATTTTGGACTGTGAAGAGACAGTCTTAGAGTTATCTACTGAGGACTAGAAGGCCCCTGTCTTTGGTTTCCCATTACTGAATTAATTGTCCCCTACAAAAATACCTGTAGCCTCAACCAAGGGTTGGAGGAGTCTGCTCCAGTAATCACTTTGTGTGAATTCTACAACCTCCATCAGAGTTCTGGCTAGGATTTATGCTAGGCATTAGTTTGTTGATTTTTTTTAAGTAAAATCTTTACGTTTTGTTTTGTTTTCTAGCAGAAACTTCTCAGAAGATGTGCTGGGGTGGAAAGAGTCATTTGACTTGCTACTGAGCAGTAAAAGTGAGTAGGATCCTGTTGTGTCCGTCCAGGGGTGGCACATGTGTACCCATGTGCTTTGGAGCCAGCCTGAGGGATGCTGAAAGCGTGGGCAAAATAATAGTTGTAGTAATAATAATAATGATCCATCCCCTAGTGTGCCAGCCTCTATTCAGAATACAAAGGCAGGTCCTTGTTCAAGAAAATTACATCCTAAAAATAGAGCCATTAACTACAATTGCTGTCTTTCTTCTTTGATTCCTCGCTGTCCCACTGTCTGACCTGTCTCTCCCTCTCTCCCCTCAACCCCAGATGGAGTAGCCGCCTTCCACGCTTTCCTGAAGACGGAGTTCAGCGAGGAGAACCTGGAGTTCTGGCTGGCCTGTGAGGAGTTTAAGAAGCTCCGGTCGGCTACCAAGCTGGCCTCCCGGGCTCACAAGATCTTTGATGAATTCATCCGCAGTGAAGCCCCAAAAGAGGTCAGAGCCTCCACATGTCCTGTGGACCCTCCACCTGCCTGCTCCTTCCCCACTGAGAACTGGGGGTGGTGGGTGTCCAGCAGGGCAAGGGTTGAGTATAGAGAGTGATCTTATTTTGCACAGGCATGAATGGGCTTCTGTGGCTGGAGACTAGGAAAACCAAGTTCTGTGCCACTCACGGGTGCTGTTACCCTCAGACTCGCTGATGGGGCTTAGAGGGGTTGGCAGGTGTTTTGGCTTTGGTGCATAACCTGCTTTTGTAAACTAAGCCCTTATTAGAGGGTTAAAATATACAAGTGGGGAGACAGGTCACCCTAGGGACCTTGTGTGACCTGCTTCAGTCCCCTGGCTGACGGTGCCTCAGGCTGGTTGGTATGTGGTTGGTGAATTTTCCCACCTTCCCTCAGGTCTCCGTGGCTGGCCTCAGCGTTTGGGAAAGTGCATGGGGCCACCTTGTGGAGAGAATATAGTAATACCTTGCTTTTGTATCCTATTTTGTATTGTATTTTCTGAGCACTTTAATTTTTACCACATTATTCCATAAAGAGTTATTGAGCACCATTTACATGCAAGGCACTGTTATAGTTATTAGAGACATAGCAGGGACAAAAGTCTCTACCCTAATGGGAGAAGATGACAATAATGGTGAAATACATAAATATATGTCAGGTGATGGTGCGTGTTTTGATCCAAACAAAGCAGGATTTGAAAGGGAGCACAGGGTGCGCCTGGGTGGCTCAGTCGGTTAAGCGTCTGACTTCGGCTCAGGTCATGGTCTTGTGGTCTGTGAGTTCAAGCCCCGCGTCAGGCTCTGCACTGACAGCTCAGAGCCTGGAGCCTGCTTCGGATTCTGCGTCTCCCTCTCTCTCTGACCCTCCCCTGTTCATGCTCTGTCTCTCTGTCTCAAAAATAAACATTAAAAAAAAAAAAAAAGGGAGCACAGGAGTACCGGATGGGTGGACGTGTGAGGTCTTTTTGTTTTTACAAAGGGAAGTGATGGGTGGGCTGTTCCATAAAGTGACATATGAACAGATAAGGGAGGGAAGAACATTCTAACACAGGAAATGGCAAGTGCAAAAGCCAGAGAACACATGTCCTAGTTACTACGAACCAAGCAGTGAGCCCGTGTGGAGCACGGAGAGTGAGGGAGGGAGAGTAGGAGATGAGGTCAGACAGGTGGCCAGATGTGGGCCTAGGTGGCCCTGCGGGCCCAGCACACACTTTGGCTTTTCCTCCGAGTGACCAGGAAAGACAACACTGCTGCTGACAGACTGACTTGAGTTTGAAAAGGCTCACTGTAGCTGCTGGCTGGAGAATGGACCACAGGAGTGAGGGTGGAGGGGAGAGACCAGTTAGCAGGCTCTGACACTAACCTAGGAGAGAGGTGATGGCGAATTGAACCAGGACTGCACAGAGGCAGGGATGAAATGGGATTGGATTTGTATATATTCTTTTTTTTTTTTTAATGTTTGTTTGTTTATTTATTTAGAGAGTGAGTTCATGAGAGAGAGTGCGTGTGAGTGGGGGAGAGGGCAGACAGAAAAGAGGAGAGAGCATCCCAAGCAAGCTCCACACTCATGACCGTGAGATCATGGCCTGAGCCCAAATCAAGAATCAGGCCCCGGATTTGTATACATTCTTAATATGTTCTTGATAACTGTGAGAGATTTGAGGGCAGACACTGGATCCGAGGTGGGGACAGGCCCACAGTTGAAAAGCCAATTAATGGTCAGCTCAGGAGACCCCAGCTTCCAGGTTCAGAGTCGGGTACCCCTTCCGCTGCTGCACCTGCCCGTCAAGCCCTCCTCGGCCCCCTGACCCCTTGACCCCCTCGCCTTGCCCACTCTCCACTCACCCACGTTGTTGCCCTCCTTCCCACAGGTGAACATAGACCATGAGACCAGGGAGCTGACCAGGACGAACGTGCAGGCCGCCACAGCCACTTGCTTTGACGTGGCTCAGGGGAAGACCCGCACCCTGATGGAGAAGGACTCGTATCCGCGCTTCCTGAAGTCACCTGCTTACCGGGACCTGGCCGCCCAAGCCGCGGCCGCCTTGGCCTCTCCGTCCAGCTGCGGCCCGGTGGAGCCCTCACACACCCGAGCCTTGTGGCAGTGAGGAAGCCAGCCAGGAAGAGAGGTGGAGTCGCCCATCGCTGAGGCAGGTTCTGCAAAGCAGGCCCGAGAGGACAGTGAAGGAAAAAGCCCGTCTGGCCGCCTGTTTTGGAAGCAGCGCCCTCTCCTCTAGATACTGTGGGACTGAATTCTGTGCAGGAGTGGGTCCCCCCACCCCCCCGCTTCCAGGACCAGCGGATAGGGCTGGAGATGAGGGTTGTGTGGGGCTCTCCGGGAAAAGGAAAGGTGGTGGTGGAGTGATCATTGGCTCTTGTTCTCCACGGGGCAGGAAATATTCCAGCCTGGATAAGGGGAACTTGTAAACGAGAGAGGGGAAGACCACCAGATCTGCCTGTTGAACAGCTGACTCCGATTGCATCCTGTTTTCCTAGTTCCCAGGCTGTCCGGGACACAGAAGGGCGTTCCCGGTCTGTCCCCTTCACCTCTGGGCTGTCCGAGGGTCGCTTAGCTTGCCCTTCTTAACATTCCCGTGTCCAGCCTCACAGTCTTATTGAGGCTGGAGAACCAATTTGATGCTTTTCCCAAGCAAGAGTTTTATACCTCAAAAACTGGCTTTTTGGACCTCTTTGCAAGTCAGTAGAGAGCCTGGAAAAGGGGCCATCTTGCACCTGTGAAATTAATCTTGGTGCTCTTGGTGACCTTTGTAGGTGGTCCCTGACCCTGTGCCTGCGGCAAGGTCCGCCTGTGAGCAGGGCCTGTGGGGCCTCTTGCTGGGCTGTGCCCTCTCGTGGCTCCATGCTGCCCTTCAACATAGGGCCCATGAGGAGGCAGGTGTGGGGCCCCACAGTGAGTGGCTAGCCCAGCTCTTGGGCCCAGCAGGGTGGAGCTAGGGAGAAAAGGGTCATGAGAACTCTCTTGGCAGTTTCCAAAAGTTCCATTGAAATCAAGCCGGTATTTTTTGTGGGTGTGAGAACAGGGAAAAAGAGCTGCCCTCAGTGGAAGGGGAGCCTTGTGTTTCTTTCCTGTGGATGTGAGGTGCCCTTACCAGAGTGTGGGGGGAAGTCGGGCCTGGAACCGAGATGGCCCTCGGAAGACTTTAGAAGCTGGGAGTGCAGCTGGGGGGAGAGACTGCTTGGAGGAGGCGGACTAGGAGAAATCAGAACCTGCTCGTCACCTCAGGGCAACACCAAACACCTATTTTGTGGTGAGACTTCTGCACGAGCCCGGGCCACGGAGGCAAATGAACCTGGCAGCCCCGTTATGCCCCAGGAAAAGCAACACTGTTCTCTCTGCGCTGTGAGCTCCTCCAGGAGAAAATTATTTAAGTATAATGTATTGTTGGTTTTGTGACTATTGTCATAGCATATTATTTTATTACTGTTGTGTGGTTGCTGTTGTTATTTATTATTATTGTAATTTCAGTTTGCCTCTGCTGGAGAATCTCAGCAGGAACTGGCAGCCTGACTGTCTCCCTCTCCACCGTCAGACTCTACCTCTACGTGCTGGGAACCTCTTAGCGTGTCAGGGACTCCTCACTGGTTAAATATTTATTTATTGTTGACAATGGAGCTGGTTTCCTAGATAGGAATGTGTACTCAATCCCTGTTTCCCTGTTTTAACATGTTATATTCTTGTAGAATAAACATAAAGCCCAGATATGAGATTCTGTCTGTGGGGGTTGTGTGGTCTGGAAGAGGCGAGGAGAAACGCCATGGAAAGCCTTGTGGAGGAGTTAGCCTCCGGAAATCCCTCGGGGCACGCGGGAGAGCTTTTGTGTTCTGGGCAGAGGCACAGGGGAAAGACCCATGTTTGTGTGGTGACTGGCAGAATTGATGAGGAGGGGCTAGGTGCTAAGGGTGGCCACCAAGATTGGTAACTTCCTTCAGCTGACGATGGCCCCAGCTGCGGTCTGGCTGTTGTGTTGATTGGACCCTGTCAGCCTGCTGTCATTTCGGAGCCCATGGCCTTTGCCCGGCTGACGCAGCACGAACCATTCCCAACTCTGCCTCTAACAGACACACAAGGGGCGGGACTCCTCGGTAGAGTAGCCACATGTTTTCACTTAGGGGGTGGCTTTTGGGCATCTTCACTTTTGCCCATTCTTAATTTGCACTAGAATTTCATGCACATTCAAAGGATTCATATTTCTAAAATAATTTCGTAGAAGTCTTTGAGACAAGCTCCGGGAGCCACTCTGTCTGCAAGGCCGCTCCACTCCAAGGGGCTGAGGGGAGTAAGGGGTTTAAGCTGGGCTTGTAAGAATCTGGGGGTAGGTTTGCAAGGATCATATCTGCTCATCCTTTGCCAAGAGCCTATTTGTTCCCTTTGCTTACCCTACCAATCCTCTGCCCCACCCCGTTACCAGTATTTAAACTTTTCTTCTACATCGAATTATCTGTTTGTACTCTGCAGTTGGTTGGCTTGGATGTGGATGATATCTAGTTGAAAACATGGGACAGGGTGAGCTCAGGGTCCCCCTAGTGCTGTCGGCCCAAGAACTTTTCTTGAATTATCTGTTTGTACACAGATCTGGACCTGCTATTGACTTTTATTTCTCCCCTATTGTTAGTCTGAGTTAGTGGCCAGACTCGGGGTATGACGGGCAGAAAACCCGGTAGATTCGCACTCTAAACCCAGGTCTAAGGGGGCAATTCTGTGGGCAGTTCTAGGAGGGATCCGGACCTTAGGGCCAGAGAAGATTGGGTCAGATGCTGTGGCAGGCCCTGGTCCCGTTTTGTCCCTATGCCAGCTCTGTGAGGTAGGTGTATTAGCCTGTAACACCAAGGAAACTGAAGCTTGTGGGGCAAGGAATATGCCCAGGGCAGCTGGCTCGAGACAGCAGCAGAGATGAGATGTGAGCGCAGTTACACCATTGGGGGATGTCCAGTGTGTGAGAGATGGGAGGAGGGATGCAATGGATGACGAAAGACGGGTCCCCAGGGAGGCGGGGAGGTATCCACATTGTCCTCTTCTTACTTTCCTTCCATCTCTTCACCTTCTCATGAATCTGAGTGTGTCCACTGGGTGCCTGGCAGAAAACCAAAAGCAGAAACTGTACTTTCACCAGAAAGTAGCTTCATTTATTTCATAGCGGGTGGGGATTCTGAATGCGGCTAGACACGGGCACACATTTTTTAAGCAGTGTGGGTGGTCAGTAGGAAAAGGCAGGTGTAATCAGTGAGTGAGAGAGAAACGAACGGGGATGGGAGACCTCCTATATCTGCGGTGTGTGCCAAAGGCCCCACAGTCCAGTGGGACCATCCTCAAGGCTTGTCCCCACCCCACTAAACCTCCCTCTCACATAAAAAGTGGTCTTGGCTTCCGTGGTGTGGCTGAAGGTGGGAGGTACACATCAGAGATAAGAATAGCTCTTTGCTGGAGCACCTGGGTGATTCAGTTGGTTGGGCATCTGACTTGGTTTTGGCTCAGGTCATGATCTCATGGTTCCTCAGTTCAAGCCCTACATTGGGCTCCATGCTGACAGTGCAGAGCCTGCTTGAGATTCTGTCTCCTCCTCTCTCTGCCCTCCTGCATGCTCTTTCTCTCAAAATAAAGAAAAACAAACAAAAAACACACCTCTTTGCTGACCCGGGTGTCAGGCTCAAAACCGTCCCATGCTCTAATGGCTCTCTGAGAGCTTAAGTGACTTCTTGAAGATCACATTGCTAAGCAAGTGTCTCTGGTATCCTTAGCCCCTTCTCCAGAGCATTCTAGACTTTGACTCAGCAGGCAAAGCATTTCCTAAGTGGGAAATGCTGGCCTCCTAGGCCTCTGTCGCTACTCTCTCCCCTGTCCCTTGAAAACAAATCTGTCACAGTTCCCAGATTCGCTGTTACTGTCTCGGGCTTCCTTGCTTCCTCATCCTGGACCATCTGCCTGCTGTGTCCCCTCCTCTCATCATTGCTTTCCACCACGTCTACTCAGCTAGGGAGGCATCTTCCAAAGACCAACTCAAGGATCTTTCTGGGAAGCCTTCCCCAAACCTTTGGGTCTGATTACGGATGCCTCTCTTTCAATGTACCACAGCTGCTCATAACTGAATTAGAGCACTTAGATCCCTGCTTTCTGCTTCTCTTTACCTGAGGGCAAGCTCCTGGGATTAGGCAGGTCTTCCTCCCCAGGGCCTTGCCTATAAGCATTCAGGAAATGGCTCTTGAGTTAATGATTAGTTTTAAATCCAGCAGGAGAAAAGTTTAGATTACGGTTTCCAACTTCCATCCAGATCCATCCCTGGATGTCCCACAGGCTCTTCATACATAACACATTCAAAACCAAGGTTATCATCATCCCCCACCAATATGCACTGCCTTCTGTTTCTCTAACCCTGATATACACAAGGGCTGGCCACCCATTTTTCAGGTTTCTCCATCTCTTCCCTATGTCATCGCATCCAGTCTTGGAAATGGGTTGAGTCCAGCTTCTCCTTCCCAGGCTCACGGAGACCTCCTTAGAGGAGCCTTTTGTCCTCTCCAGTCTGAGCTACAAAGACAGCTTTCCACCTGGTCTCCCTCCCTGGCCTCTCCCATTCATTTCCCACACTGCCAATCTTCACCCATAATGCACAGATATGAGCGTGTCATGGCTGCATTAAAATGGCTCACCTTTGTCTACAAGAGAAAGTCCAGATCTGACCATGGCATCTGAGGCTCATTCTGAGCTGAACCAAGTCCCTCTTCTGACCTGTCCCCTGCCCAGATGGCCTTTACACACATGCTGCTCCCTGTGCTGGGAATGCCCTCTTCCTTTCTTTTTTTTTTTTTTTTAATGGGGGTTTTGGGGTGAGGAGGGAAATGCCTTCCTCTAAATCCAACAAAAACATCACCTCTTCAGTGAAGCCTTCTCAGATGTCAACTGCACAGAGTTAATCTCTCCCACTTCCGTGATTCTAGGACACACTCTTTTTTTCACTTTGTTGTACATACTGAATGGTGCAATTCATGCTGTTTTCCTTCCCCTAAACTGGTCTCTTCAAGGTCAAAAGCCATATCCTTTACCTTGATAAGATGGGACCGGACAGATTGCAGCAAAATGGTTCACAGCCCTGGCTGTGGAGTCAAAATATTTGGGTTGAAATCCTGGCTCATTTGCTTTATGACCTTGGGAAGTTATTAAGGTAGTTCCCTCACCGTAAAATGAAGATAATAAAAGTGCACCCCTCTTTGGGAACATTGAATGAAATAAGTGTTTGGCACTTATTTTCCCATGAATGTTAGTTACTATTATTATTACCTGATCCCTAGTACTTAAAACAGTGCCTTGTACACGGTGGGCATCAGATAGTAATTATTTACCGACTTTGAGCAGATTGGAAGAATCAGGATTCCAAATCTACTTTTCTTTCAAAAATAGTCCAACTGTTCCAGTATTGTATATCATCTGATGTGCAGAGTATTACAGAATTTCAAGTGAGGAAATCAAGGGTTGAGCCCTTCATCGACTCGCTCAACCCCCCTCCCCACCCCAGTCAGCTAGTGCTGCTTCCACATGGTGCTGTTGTTGCTTCCACAAGACTGCCAAGGACCCCTGGCCCATCTTTCACCCTCTGCTGCCTCCCTGTGGCCATATCAGGCAATGCATACTTTTTCCTTAGTATTGCTTGACTTCGGCCATATTTTGTTTGGCTACTTCCTCTGGAATGGTATCCAAGAGGTATAACTTATAGTTTTGTTTATTAATGCTTTTTAATAAACACGTGAAATTTTAATATGAGTGAAAATTATTAGTGTAACTTTTAAGACAGCCCGGTGGGTACAGGGTTTAGAACAAGATTTCTTTTTTTTTTTTTTTTTTTTTTTTTTTTTTTTTTTTTTTTTTTTTTTTTTTTTTTTTTATACATTTATTTGAATAAGTAATTTATA